TGATTTTGCCTGGTTGAAGTCAGGAACAGAAACATTGTCCAGGCCACCTACTGATGAACAGTACAGATCATAGCATAATAGGACAATGTCTGTCTACATGTAATCTATCATACATGACTTCAGCTTTATTGTCCTAGCTTTTACCCTGGGAATTGATTCATCTCCCTTAAGTGACATGCAGCCCAAATCAGAGTGACTTTATATGTCTCCTGTAAGCACATCAAAATTTACTCAAGCAGTTTTAAGTTGTATTCAATCCCAGCCACTCTTCTGCTCCTTTATTCACTAAGTATGGCTGGAAGTAACACTTTTGCAAGAAACTCCATTGTGCCATCACTGGATTTAAGGTACTCACTGTGCCCACTCTTGGCATCTGTCACACATACAGATATACATACAGGGCATGTGTGACAGAGACAGATACAAACTGGGATACAGAAAAAAGATTAAGCAAAGATTTGAATGTTAAATTTCAATATGCTCAGTGACTGCCATAGCTTCTGAGTTACTATACCAGGTTTCAGTTGGCCAATACATAACTATTTTTATATGTCAGAATAGGGGAACTGGTCACAGAATTACAATGATGGTTAGTTCCCTATGAATCATTTCACAACTACAAATGAGAAACACACAGGTGGTCTTGATTTTTTAGATGTACAGTGGAAATGTTCGAAATCTCAAATTTTCCTCTCAGCTCCATTTGCTCATCCATGGTGGAAGACAGCAAGCCAGTTCACAAAATGGACTTTCAGCCTAGCAGTACTAAATAGCCCCTATGGGAAATCTAATCTCTTATTTGTGAAGACAAGAGGCTATTCTATCTAGTGAGACCACAAATGCTGAGTCTTCCCTAAGTTACCAAATGCTATTCAGCCTTTATCTGAAATGCTCCTGTTTCTTCCATTCTGGTTATCTCCTCAGCAAACATAATGGAGAATTGTTCTGAATTATGTGTCAGATCTTCAGTGTGGGAAAAGGACTTGAATGATGTCAACAAGATCAGAAAATTCTGAGGGAAGACAGGCAGGTAAAGTCACAAGAATTACCACAACCCAGAGAGGTGGTTCTGTATGCTGTTTTTAAGCCAGTATATAATTTTAAAACAATTTTTTTTGTGATACATACACTGATAAATTAAATTTAGCTTTAAAAATGAACTGTTGTCCTCAGTCACCATCCACGCAAGGTAAAATTTTTAGATTCATAACGAGCCTGAAATACATTTACAAGATCTCATCACATAAAATTCCTTCAAATGTAAAAGCAATTTTTGTGGTTCTCCATGTAAAGGACAGGCAGAACTAAAGAAATGTCTTGATTTCTACTGTCCCATGCTGTTAAAATACAAGATCAAATATTATCAAGAAAGATGAAAAGGTGGAAGTTTTACAGTTCTAAAGAACTGAATGTTTAAATGTAACTTCCAGTGAGAAATGACTGGGAAAAAACTTAGTGCACCTAATTAGGCCCTAATGACCAAATTCTTAGGCGGAAAGATTTGGTGATGAACCGCATGAAAAAGACACTCTGCTAACCCCTTTTCTGAACTGCCACCCACGGAATTTCACCTGCACAAGGACATCCTATACATACTGCATCTTGAAGGGGCAACCTGAGCTGTGTTGAAACAAACTAGCAGGAGTCAGGAGTGATTTCTGCCATTAGCAAGATAGGCAGGCTCCTGCTTAGCAACTTGCAGCTTTACAAAGACAGCTCCCAAGTCCACAAATTACAAGTTAACACTGAAATGTAAATCTAGATGCATTTTTTGGTATAATTTTCCTGAAAAAAATCTTATGTTATGTGCTGTTAAATGTTGTAAATGATATACTATATAAATTAGTTGAAACACCTCATGTCAAGTCCTTTCTACAGTTTATGGTTTGATAGGTAAGCAGAAAAGACAGCCTTTTTTATTTCTGTACTATGTGAAAATAGAAAGACCAGACATGCTGAAAAATCAGCTCAAAAGTAGTTTTAGAAAATCAATCAGAACAGGACAAGATATGAATAACAATGATGATAATAATTAGAACCAAGACATGTATGGCCAATATTGTATTTCCTCAACCAGGAACTGCATCATACCACACCCCATGAAAAGAAGTGGCTGGTGCAAATATTTTGCTTTGTTTCAGTAACATAATCTCCATCGCCTTTTTTTGCCTGTGTCTTTCCTCTTTCTTACTCTCCTAAAAGATTGTAAATGAAAATGGAATCTCTCAACAAACACTACAAAGACAGTCTTTCAGCTCTTTCAGTATTCCACTCTCATGACAAAGCAGAAACAATTCCTTTATTCTTTCCCACATCTGACTACAAGACTCCAAGAGGATGAAGGGGACTTGCATACTGCCTTTTTAGCTCTCTTCCCCTGCAGCCACTCTTCTCCCTCCAGCTGGCCAGCACCAGGTCCCCTGCAATGCTCTCCCATTTAATTCCTACCCTCGATGGGGCTGCACAGACATGACTAATTGTAATTTACAAAACACTTTTAGTCTGCCCAGGCACCAGGCTCCAGCTTGCTCTACATCCAGTGTGTCAGCCCTGCAGGGACAAAAACATCAGACATTTCCTTTGCAGCTCATAGCAGGGCACAAAGAGCAGATCTATCAAAGCTGATACACAGTGTCTTTTTGAGAGCAGAATGGAGCAAAAGATTATGAAATCACCTGTAATAATTCTTCTCTTTCTGGTCTGAATTCCTAAGAGGTGTTTTCCTCTCTTCCTAATGCAATTGTTCTCCCTGTAATGGCTGAGCACTTAATGTCACTATCTTTTGAAACAGGTCAGGCTAATGGCAAGCTTGCTTTGGGCATATTGATTCAAGCTCATTAATATGCATACTCTCTCTCCATTCGTTTCTCTATTTACTTTGAAGTTGCCTCTCTGGAACCTGCAATGCTTTTCTGTGTTAAGACTCTTGGCTGGCATTTCTCAGCTTGCTGTGTCTGGTTTTGACCTAGGATGGAAATGGGACTGAATGCTGCAAAAGTTAGTCAATGGCACCTCAGGTGACATTTGGTGCCCAGCTGAATGAATTTCTTGGCCTCCTCACCCTCACCACTGAGAGGTATTCTTTCTACCAGCTCTCAAGTTGGCTGTTTACATCGCACATTTTAGGGCAAGTAACATCTCCATATTTGTCAAGCATCTGCCCCAGGGGAGCACATTGTGCTCCTACAAAAAAAAACACTACCAAACTCTTTCTAAATGTTTCTTCCACCTGAAAGAGCTATTTCCAGCATGGGGGGAGAAATCAGCTTTGACTCAGATATCAGATTCTCAGTGTGATAAGGGAAAGTGATTCAGCTGTCTTCTTTTATTTTTTGCTTTATGATTCAGGAGCAGCTCATTGTTCAGATGACACAGTCAGTCATAACTGGGAACTTCTGTGAGGGGGAGGAGTACAAGCATTTATATAATATTCAGAGGCCACTTTATATTAATATCTCTACCCAAACAGGCCAGTACCAACATTTTCCACTGCAACAGGCCCATGTCATCGGAGGTTATTTTGGGCTGAAATATTTGGGCATACCACTTTCCTCAAAATACTTAAAGGGACAGCCAGTTAGGTAGCTTCTCCTGAGACTGCGTGTTATGGCAAGGTGGGTCAGTTTCCTACTAAGTCCCACCCAAGTACATGTGGAAATATGCACTCAGCTTCCATGATTCCTCCATACAAACAACAGTGTCTTCTCCACAGACATCCATTAGAAAAACAAGGAACACACACAGAATCGTATGAGAGGAGTTGGCCACGATCAAGACACAGAGCCTGTCTAACTAAGGACTGAACACAGTTTGGTTATATTTAGTGGCTTCTTCTGGAAGGCCCGAGAAGATTCAAATCAAACAGGATTCAAATCAAACTAAGGGGTACAAACACCTTTTTTAGCAGATAGGACTGCAAGCCACTGCTAAGACTGCACACCAAAACTTCTGCAGTTTAATTGGACCTAATTTGACTCCATTTCCAACAATTCTTTCCAAGCCTTTAAATCCCCACTGTACTTGTGTAGAAGAGCAGCAGTATGCTGCAAGATTTTAAAGTAACCAATTCCCCTGCTCGATCTCACAGAATTTTTCAGAAGATAAAATGTTTAAATGTGGAGCATTATAAATATGGAGGTTTTAATCCAATGTCATTCTTTAAATTACTTGCCACATTCATTTTAACAGGAACCACCAAAGGAAATATACAGTAAGTCAAAACAACTGAACAAAGCAAGTGGTAAAGACCAGTGGTCACTAATCCTTGTCACAATGCAAAGAGTTGCATCCCAGTTACTGGAATATGGCAATAGAGCAGGGCTGACAGGTGCTCAGGGGCAGAGAGTCATGACAGCTTGACAGGGTTCCTCTCACAAAGGTCATGAAGGCACCAGTCTCAGCAGCACCTAACAGCTTTAACACACAGACAGCTCACACTGTCTGCTGGCTTGTGGCTCATTTGATGCAAAAGAGAATCCATCTCCCAGCTCCTGGCTGAGGCACTTGGTCTTGATCTAGATCTACTGCTGCACAACCTTGGCTCAGTAACTACATATTCTCCAAGGGGAGCAGCAGGCAAGGATGCAATGTCATCTTAAAATCCATCACACACTGGAATACAATTAAGAGCTGCAAAACTGAACAGTGAGTAAAGAAATATCAGTGCCAAGAGCCAAAGTGGCCACCTGTGGAGGAGCTAACAGTCTAGAGATCAGAGCACACATCAAAATGTTTTACATTTTGGTTTTTTTCCAAGTTTACCTTTCTTACTCATTTCCAGCACCTTAAAGCAGAAAAAAACTATTGAAACAGATTACTTAGTGTGATCAGCTTTGGTCTTCTTAAAAACAGTGGAAAAACACCTAAAGATCTGTGATTGTCAAACCACAGTCATCTGGAACCTGAAAATGTAGTCAGCTCTAATATGACAATGCAAATCAGTTCATCAGCTAAAAAGGAGGAGAGATGAGAGAGCATGGCACAAAAAGATTTTGACTCACAGTGGCTAATTTCTGAACATCTTCATCAGATGCTCCCAGTGAAGCAAGTCCTATCTCTTGTGAAAACTGTGCAAATTTGGGATCAGCAAGTAGAGGCACATGTCCCAAGAGTTCATGGCATGTATCCCTAAGGGAATGGAAATGAAAAGAGAGTCATTACAGAAATTAATAATACCATAATAATTCCATAATTAATTTACCATAAGGCATTTTACAGGGGTCTGACTCCTACCTTACAATGAAACATGGTTTCTACAGTGTAGTTCTTCCCTGTGTATACAGTTTCTACGTGTAGGTAGAAAAACACACATTTGCTTCTGTTACTAGATTATACATCATTTAACCCCAGCTGTTCCGTGATTTGCTCATCATTTCCAGATTGAGTGGAAGAGCCTGATCGCTACAATACTTCAGACTTGGTGACATGAAGACTGAAGCACGCACAGGAAAGCCAGCTGTCCCACTAGTATAGTTTTCAGCTTTTCTGTCCCCATAAATCAAAATCCAACACATTCCCTCTTCCTTTTGTCCATTCTTCTTTCTGTAATTGGGTAGCACTCCACATCAAACATTTTGCCACTTGCCCCCAGAAATATGGGGCAGTATTTACAAAGGTTTCTGTGTGCCTAATTTCTCATTTAATCATGAAATCCTACTGCAATTACTGGGTACTTCTGTTATGCAGTCTACTTTTCAGCAAGCAGATTTCAGAAAAAGCAGAGAATCCAAGTCATTTCAAAAAGAACAGCTGTTCACATCTGTAAGTGCATTGTTAGTCATGACAAAGTGCAGACATAAGTGTACAAAAAACTGCTAACGGAAGTGCACATGCATCATCTACAAAAGCTTTCAAACAATTTTGAAAGTTTTGCTGCATTTGTTCACAGGAAATAATGGACTTGGTAGTAAAGTTCACTTTAAAAATCCAATCTGACATTTCCTTTGCTTTTGTCTCTTTCAAGACATACCTCTTTTTTTCTTTTTTTTTTTTATCCTAAGCTGTAAACAAATGCTTTAAAGGCAGGGAGAAAACATCAAGTTTTCTGCCTTCTACCCAAAATCATCCAATTTGTCTTTTATAAACTATTTTTGTTTGAAAAGTCACAGAATATGACATTTCAGATAAATCATGAACAGAAAAACAACCCTCTATATAATTTAAAGTCTTCTTACTCAGTATTGTCACCAAGAAGTCTGAACCGATAATGTGTAGGTGGATAGTAGAAAATAGAAGTTGGTGGTTTGCATCACTTGACTGGATAACCATCAGAGCTAATTAATTAATTCTTTAATTAATTCCATTCCAATCACAACAATTTTTTTTTCTCCTACAAGATTTATCTCGCTAACAATGCAAAGGACAGCTGGGAAATGTAGTTTGCAGTCTGACAGACACACCACTTCCCAGCACCAAGCAATTCACCGGAGGAACCTGATTTCTCCAACCATCAACTTCCAACATAAAAATGGGTCACAAAGCCCATTCTGTGGAAGCCCAACACACCAGTTCTTACTTCCACCAAGCAGGCTGACACTAATTGCTGAGCATCTGTGCTACACTCCACCAGTTCAGATATATTTAGCTTTGTATCAGTAGTTCAAGCAGAAGCAAACAATGAAGCTGGCTCCAAGTTCCTGGCTCCAGGTAAGAACACTCATCTGCAGGCAGGTTTCTACAGCAACACCACTACTAATGACACCTGAGCTAGTGCCTACCTCTCTATTTTCCTGTGCTGAAGCCACAAGCCCCAGAAAGAAATAAGCAAAGATGACTTACTCCCAGTTCTGCACTGGGACACATGACCTTTGTTATGTCCACTCTTGCAGACAAAATGAGAACAGACAAAGCCTAATCCCATTAACTTGTCTCTCTTGGCAAGGGGAAAAGAATGAGGAGGCAGAAGATATTTCTCTCATGCCTTTAGTTTGTAGATTCTTCCATTAAAGCTATGCAAAGTAGTATTTTGAATGTGTAGTTACAAAGAGGGGAGCTTAAAGCAAAAAGAATATGAACAAAAAAAACTCAAAACCACAAAATCTCTCAGGCAGAAACATGAACCAGTATTTGGGACTGTCATTGGAGTCTTTTAGACTTCCCTGCCAGTCTGGCCCTTTATAGATAGTCTAAACAATATAATTCTTTGCTTAACTACCAAGGCTGATTCTTTTATTTTGTCTTATTCTGAAAATAATTAAGTTCCTTTAATTTATTCACACACATTGCTCAGAGAAAATAAGATTTTTGTAATGCACTTTTCACAGCAAAAGATTTTTCTTGAAGTAAATTAGTTAGTAAAGCAGAAGAAATCTACATAGCTCTGTGAATGTAGTAGAAACATAATTAAAATCAGGAAGAAATATGCTTTAAAATGCATATGGTAGTGATACAGATCAAACCAAATGAACTCTCTAATTTATATCTAGCTCTGTAGCCCGGGTGTTAAATCTGACAGAAAGCCCACTGAAGTCAAAAGGAGCCTTTTTACCTGGTTTATATCATTGAAATGCAACATTCACCAGCCAGGACCTGCAGCAAACCTCATTATGGCCCCATATATCAACCAGGAGATCTCAGGGAATTGCAGCTACTGCAGAAGATGAAGAGCTGTCCCCACTCAAGTCAATTTAGTTTTGCCATTGACTTAAAAAAGCACTAGGCTTTCACTCTACACTTCTGGTAACACTGTGTGTTCTATGTTATGTAAAGAAATGTAAACACATTTTAAAAAGGATTGTCAAAATTTTCTGATGGAGTTCCTGGTAGTCAGTACACATTACTCAACTAATGTGAACCAGTAGGTTAAGACTATAACCTGTATTTTTAAGTTCAGCCCAAATAAGGAATAAAAATCTTCATTCTAATTCAACTGTTATTATTACTCAGCAGCTTTCCAGACAGTATGACCAGAAAGGCTACTCAAGAAGCAGCTGCCATTGCTACTAAGGATCAGCTATGACCCCCTGCATAATTCTGAGTGTAAGCAGCATCCTGAAAATTGCAGGGCTCTCAAATACACAAATCAATGAACCAGAGAACATCAGGAAAAGCACAGACACATGTAATTGCTTCCTGGAAGATGTTATTGCCTTTATCCTGTTGGAGTTATGTACCTAAATCTCTTATCAGTAGATGAAAATGTTCTTCTAGTTTGTACTAAGTTAATAAATGTCATCATTCTTTTGCTGAACACTGGTACATGCTGCAGCCTGAAACACTGGCTTCCCACAGGAGAGGAAATCAGTGATGCAAAGCCTGGTACTTCCCTTGCATCTTTTTTTTTTTAAATATCTACAGATATTTTTTTAATAGACCTGAAGAAGTTCAGCCCTTCCTTCCATCCAAGCCCTCCTTTCAAAATTTTCCATTCTATCAATTTTCCTACAAATTTAAGAGATTTAAGTTCTAATTACAGAGGTTATAGAGGTGACTGAATTCCTTCAGGGATCACCAGCTCCTTTCCAAAAGAAACACGCACACAAAGCTAGCCTCAGAGCATTTCAGCAAGGCAAGTACTTCGCTGCGTTCAGATGCTGAGGAGAAAGATAGAGAAGTGTCTAACAGCACCATCTGGTGACTCCTGCCAGAATAAAGCTACCGCATTTTTAGATACAGCTTAGTATGCAGTGCCATTAAACCTTTTATATTCCAAAATATTACTCCATGTTTTGGCAGTCAATTCATGAAATCAAACTTAGGCATAAGACCAAATGTTTACAGGACTGGAGCTGAATATATATGTATTAATCCTTTGTGTAAATTTGGAAAAAATCAAACAAGTGGTCCAAGCAGATTAAATCACAGCTACAATCTCATGCTAACTGCCTGATGACTGATTCACTGCAAAAAATGTCACTCCTGTGGTTACAGGATCAGAAGATACCTTTGGTAAAACTACCTCCATATTATCTAAATGACAGGTACTGTTCTGCTAGTACTGCACAGAATACAACATATATAACACAAGACAAAAACCACAATCTCTTTGATCTTCTTTTTCCCCACTTTTAATCAAAAGACCATATACCAAAATATTTCATACTAACTTGCAATGTTCTGTTTTGGAAAAGCTGCAATGCTGTCCCATAAAAGTCATAATTAAAGTGTTTCTTATTTCTGTCATAATTTCCCTGTAATGTATCTAATATTCTCTCTTGATAAGAGAATAGTGCTCCATGTCTTGCTTGTGTTGTGTTATGGGAGAGAAATGAAGTTCAGCTGTGCAACCTCCTCCAAAGAAATAAAAATGGGAACACAGAAGATCAAATTAAAATTCTGAAAGCAGGGTTTTTTTCAAAATATTCAGGGTTTGGGGTTTTTTTTTCACTACTTCTTTCTAGCTGTCCAGCAGAAAATAAAATTGTAGACACTTTTTAAAAATTTTTAGGTGAAAATTCAATTTTCCACTGAAATTTAATTTCAATAGTATCTCTGACCCATTATATAAATAACCCAGTTATTTAAGACGCTTGTAAAAAGTCAACAAAGAAGTCTTTGAATTAAATTCTGGCTCGCCAGTGTGAAGGATTTTGTCATCAACAGTGTAAGAAGAATTTCACATTTTGTAGAAAGGTATACCTCTTTTCAATCTTGCCAGATTCAGCTGGTTCCTTTAAGAAGCTGGTGAGTGTATTTTGTCAGTGCTAGAGCAAAGGCAGCACTTACGGTTCGGGTGTGTAGAGGGGATCTGAGCCGTGCCGGATGTACTGCGTGCAGTGAAACACTCGGTAGGCTAAGCCAGCTAAAAAGTCACGGGGAGACAGGTATCCAGCAACCGGTCTCACTGTGAAGCCAGACCTCTCTGAAGGGAGAGAGAGAACAAAATACATAGACCCACATTACATAGATCTCTGTATCACTTTCTGATGACAGATCTGTTGTTAATTATTCTACCAGAAGCATGAAACAAAGAATCTTGATGATCACCACACATAATTTTCAATTATTTCATGCAAGAAGTATTTTGCATTGCTAGCATTTGTATAATGAAAACAGCTTGAGGTATTTCAAAGCTGGTGTGAATAGCTTTGTCTAGAAAAAAATGCTAAGGTACCATAAGTGATGTCCTTAAAATTTTAAGAACAAAAATTTTTGTCTGGTACCAAATGGGAGAGAAATTTGCATATTAGAAATTATGCAAAATATGTTTAAAAACTAACAGAACAGAATAGGATTAAAACAAATCTGTCCTTATTTTTTACACATAAAATATTGTTTGTGTCAATAAAATACTGATTTTTATAGTTAAGATCCTCATTGAAATATTTAACAGTGTTCTTTTTTCAGATTCGTCCCAGAGTGAAACAGTTTCAGATTCAGTGACTTCAAAAAGTATGTTTCTCTCAAAAATTAATTCTTTTTTTTTTTTCAAAGTTTTTACAGGACAATGTTTCAATTTTTTCTGCAACAGGTACTACAACCTGCTCTATGTAGTCTGAAAACATATTTCTGACACTAGTGTGAGATTTTGAATTTCTAGCTAGGGAGAAAAAATCTGTACAATTTGGTATCATTCCTTAGCAATCATTCCTGTAACACAATACATGAGAGATCTAGAAGGACACAATCAAATTCAAAGAATGATGAGTCAGCTATTAGCAAATGTAGGTTTTCACAGACAAGAATTATGGATGAAGTGCAGGCTGAGGAAAGCAAGCTTGTCGCTATAAATTCTTTATTTCCTTTAGCTTGTCCATATATATATATATATATTTGGATAAAATGCTTTGCTAATTATTCTCTTACCAGCACATAAGTTGGTTTATTTTTTTTTCAAACACCTGCCTTTATAATATTTTAGTTCCTGAGTAAAAAGTTTAAGAAACAAATATGCGTAGCTGAAGGGACCTTTGAGGAGAAATTAAACTCTTAAATTAACTCTTTGGTGGCTTTTCCTCCAGAGCTAAAAACATCTCCATGTCTACCACATTGTCCATACGGGATGCATTTCCATTACAAATTGACATTTACATTCCAATTTACAAATTAAAACAAAGAATTTATTTTTGAACTTAAATATATAATACACTGGTCCTTAAAAAATGAAAGAGAAGCACCACATCACCTACAGTGCCCAGCACATCTTTTTCAACATACAAATAAAAGGATTAGCTTCATGAGGTCTCTGCTCAGGAAAGCTTCATATTCATCAGGCTACACAACAGTGTGCCAAACCTGCCCTCCTCTTTAAATTCAGTTATCTTGGCATTTGACTCCCCCTTTTTCCTGCCTGGATATTTGGGGGATGCCCAGTGCAGTTATCAGAAGCCCCCATCTGTCACTAACTCAGGTTTTCCTTTCCACCAAACCAAAGGGTTTTTGCCCTGTACAAGATAACATCACGCTTTTACATGTGCAGCTGATTAATTTCTCCCCATTTCATACTTGCAAATATTTATATAAAACTGTCTTGACTCCAAAAACTCTGCCACAGAGAACACCAAAACCAGATGATACTTCAGGCTAAACTGAAGGCCACTGACAGTGCTCTGTGTCTTTTCACTCAATGTGCTTTGTACTCCATACTAACAAAAAAGTGTTTTCATGAAACCATATCTATTGATAGACCAAATATGAATCTTACCTTTAAGAAAAATAGAAACATCTTCCAACTGAGGCACATTATCTTCTCTGTATCCACAGTACTTGCTCAGCAGAGGAAAGTTTTTTAAATATTCACGACAAGCATGGGTGGGATAGAGTTTACTGAGTTCCCTAAATACCACCCCCCAAGTTTTAACTTCTTCAGCTGTGTACTCCACTCTTGGAATGGGTTGACCACTATTGGAAAAAAAAAATACAAAATACATCCAAATACAAGCAGACTGTAGGCAGATTGTAAATAGCAATATTCACAAAAAGTATTATTTAAATAAAGGCAAATGACACTATTAACACTATTTGAACTATTCTTAATTGACATCTTGGTGCTTCTTCCTTAGAATTATTTCTTGATGTTACGATGTACATATTCTATCATTTCCTTAAGAATTGTTTCTCTCTAAGCAATCTTATTGCTTCTTAATCTTTGTACGTATCCTAGTAGAAAGATGAATTTCTTATATACCATGCTCCTATACCAGACTAATATTTCTGCACTTACTGCCACTGGTACCTTTGCAAGTGGATGGCTGTAGATCCTGATTCAGTCTAACATGTAGATTGAGTAAGACCTTCAACAGACTGCATTCTCTATGCATTCTTTAAAATACATAATATTCACATGGCATCAAATGCTGGGTCAAGATTAGGAAATTACATAGATGCTTAGAAATGTATGGATCCAATTTTAAAAATGTGTATTTGTTGCTTAGACAGTTGCTTACATATACAGATATGTTTGGAACCCTGAATTCGTGCAGGATTATGTTAGAAGGAAGCTCATCTCAGAGCCAGCAGCCCAGCCTAGGGGAAACTCTTAAATACATCTCTCCTTTTGTTTTGATTCTGCCTTGTTCTTCTGCCCCCTCTTGCTTGCACAGATGTACAGACATTGGAAAACAGGAGCCTTCCAGGATACCTGCAAATCTGACATCCAAGATTTGCCTTGAGTAGCTACAGTTAATTCAAAACTGACTGACAGTGTGAACATTGCTAAGAGATCCTTCTAACTTACACTGCCTTGTATTTAGCTGTAAGGAATTTCCCATTACATGGCCATGGGCCATCACCTCATGTCATTAATTGCCCCTTGAAATGTTTTGGTGTTCCTCTGGAATTAACATTCACAATCTAGAATGTGTAATCTCTGCAATCTGCCTTCTCCTCAGGCATCTTCTCTGGCACTGTAACGACATACAGATTGGCAGAGGGATTCACAGCATCCAGCTCCGCTCCATCAGTCCTTATCTCTCACTCTCCTGCCACAGGGCTGGCAACGTGGGCACTCCCAGCCCAGTGCTGCAGCTTCCCCAGCACCACAGACAGCTTCCCCAGCACCAGAGACAGCAGCTGAACAGGCACATCAGGCACGGGCAGCTCCATTGCAGCAGGAGAACCGCAGTGCTGGCCTCTTGCTGGCAGCTGCTGCGCAATTCATAATCCTGTCTCCACTGTATGAGGTAACAAGGAATAAGCCCTCATGTCACATTTGATTGCTGCTATGCAGTCCCTACATGCACAAGAGAGGATCATCTGCCCTACATTCATTGTGGTTGTCCCCTCATCTTTATTGAAAACTTACCATTTAATCCCCTTGCCTTTCATGATATCAAAGGATTTTGATCCCTGGCAGTTATCTGTCAGTCAAAGGCAACTTTGTATGAGGTGCTCGTACTTGGTAGGGACTGCTGAATATCCAATACATGCACTAGTTCCCTGTCAGCCACTTTTGCAGACATGACAAGAATTGCAACAGGTTTAGTGAAGTATTTCTCATCCACAGGAGCTGCACTGGGTCTGTGCCCATCCTGCAGTGGGAGAGAGTCCTTCAGGTCTGGTGTCTGTCTTCCCCCTTAACAGTTAATCAGCCTTAAGCTGCCTGCCGGCTCATGGCAAACATAGCATAGCTATTCTGAATTGTACTGTACATGACAGATACAAGCAGGCTGCTATTCCATGCATTTGCTTCTGCCAGAATACCCAGCCTCATCCCTTCTCCTTAGGCCTGACCTCTACTATGGTTACTACCGTATGGGTCAGCACTGGCACATCAAGCAGGAAGATATGTTTTACCAGGGGAAAAGCTCATGTTTCTATCTAGCCCGTCACTAGAAAGGCATAAACACAATCAAGGATCTGAAGCTTACTCACTGCTCACTAAAAGGTTTATAACTTAGTTATTGTTCCAATTAATTCATTAGTACTGAAGTAAGGTTCACTGAACATTAATTCCTTAATAGGTTTCATGCCTAGGAGAGCTGATCTTATTTCCAGCTGGTCATGATACTGCTTTCTTTATAGAGAGAATCAAGGCAGCCAGGCTTGTGGGAGGATCTATGCATTTTTCCCTCACTCTGCAAACTTGATGTTTCTTACCTTCTTATTTCAACATGCAAGACCCACCTCGCACTCAAACATTTCAATAAATCATGGAAATGGCCAATCTGTATAGCCAGTTTCCTTGTGGTTAAGATGACTCTACAAACTAACCTAATCTGAATTTTTATTTCTCCTTATTAAAATAGGGTCTTTCCATTTTGCAACGGTCATGAGCTATCAACTCATATTATTAATTCCCTCTTAAGTATCGTATGTTTCCTACAGATTTAATTTTCACAACACTTTTTCAAACCCTAATCAGTCTCAAAGGACTAATTAGCAAGATTAATGCATTTTCACTCTCTTTAGGATAGAAGCTAAGTGAAGGAGGGAGGAATATGTTTTTTTATGGCTTTTTTGGTCCATTTGTTACACACAGCTGATCTTCACTGCTGTTATCTATTAACATGTCTTTTCCCTTAACAGCCAGCTCCAGCAAACACCTGCTCCTTCAAGTTCACTTGGTAATGCTTTTCTCTCTCTCTCTTCGTTACGGACACCCCTTTATGTTCAAGCAAAGCAAAGTACCTACTGCTATAGGACAGTAGCAATTCATAAAGGAAATGCTGATCTGGGATTTTCAACTCAACTTTTTATGGAGCTAATTCCTTGCAGCCAGATCTCTGGGCTTTTTTAAGGAAACAACAGTGGGTTGTTGGTTTTTTTACAATGCAAAATGAGAAGCAGAAACACATCAAGCCTCAGTAAGTGATTAGGAAAGTCACTTTCCTGGAAGACACTGAGAGATGTTTATCCCCAAGGAGGGCAGCCCTTGTAAAAGAGCTGTTCTTTTTGTGGAAATAAGTAAATAGTCATTAGACGCCAGAAGAGAGTGTCACAAGACTTCGATGTAGTGTCAAGACACCTATAGTAACTCTCACCTCCCCAGTGTGGGTAGCAGAAACAGCCCAGCTGTAGCAGCACAGCTTTCCCTGAGCTGATTTGCCTTTCCTCAGCATGGTTTGGGCGGTGCTGCAACAGGATACTGAGGTTGTGTCCCTGGGTTGTCTCTCCATGGATACCCAGAGACAGGCTGACTGTACAGACCAGCAGACACAGCACATCCCTAGGGGTAAGGATAACCAGCACAGGAGACCTGAAGTATGAATGAGATTTTGACACATGTTAGATAAGTGCCCTAAGCACTGGTCTCCCAGTTTTTCTGGAGCCTGTCTAAGAGTATTTGAAGCCTCTTCTTTTCTTTGTTCTTATAATAATAGGACAAGTTTGCAATCTTTTAAAGGTTTGAAAAGATGAGTGGAATGAAGGAGTATATTTGACAAGTTTTGCTGAAGTACAAGATCTGGTCCTCAAATAACCTCTGGTTTGGATTGTGTCATTTTTGTAATGTGCCTGCAAAAATTTTCTTAAGCCTTCAAAATCTAAAGAAGGAAAATGTTTTCCTTTCCTTGATTTGTTTTATTTTCTGGAAATATGCAGGATTACTTTCTGTTATTTTGCAAAAAGGTGTTTCTCTTCTGGTTTCAGGGTAGAAAAAAAGGCCACACTTTGGACCAAAAGACCAATTACTGCTTAGTAAACCAGCTGCATCTCCTTTCCAGCACTTAGGCAGCTGAGAGGGAGAAGGAAGGAAGATCTTACCAGCAAGTTAGCAGCTGTGAAATGCACAGCAGTACTACCACCATCATGGATAAATGGAGAGCTATCCCACTTACTGAAAGAGCCTAAGAGCACACACAGCCTGCCCTCATCCACAGGTATCCACTTGACATTTCACACTGCAGTAAATGACAAGAAGCACTGACTTCACTGCAAGCATTAGACTAAAAGAAAGATAATAAATCAATCAGCTTTAAACAAACATTCTAACAAAAAAGCTATCTCAATTTACATTTGAAAGCTGGCTAGACTCAGGGCTTACCTGGGCAGCCTAGAGAGCTTACTAATAAACACCTGCCCCAGCAGGCAGCAGCTCAGTGTGCTGGATGGATGTTGTGAGCACCCAGCTAAACAAATACCACTGTGGGCAGAAAGAAAGGGGAAAGAACACTAGCACCTACACGTGTGTAAGACTGGTAATAGCTTAATGACTGCCTTGGGACAACAGTAGAGAAAAAATAAAATCAGAATTATATGGTCAAAAACAGACTTAATCCTCCTGTCCCCCCAGCCTCCTGCAGGCTGTATAATAGCCTTACACTGAAAAACCTTCAGAAATTCAGTTTGACTTGATTCCTGACAGGATGTGCCTCCTATAAGTGGGGAAAAAAATTGCACGTTTCATATTCTTAAACCACGTAGGTAGAAATCTCAAAGGAGAAAAAATGAAAAACCTAAAGAAGTGTAGAAAAGAAAATGGAAAAGAGCATGAAATTAATATGTTCTTTCCCTTGAGAATGAGGGTTTAAACCTGTTGCAAATAAAACCTAAAGTAGGATTAGAACTAGTTGAGTGCTCCTGTGACAAGAAAATTGCAACACAGTAGGTGTTTGTAGGTAGAACAGCAAGTTTCCTAACTTCCAGAGACTGTAGCAAATTGGAAATACTGACTTGAAATGGGGGAAAAAAAACAGAATGAGAAAACACTTGCAGTGTACTTGTGCAGACAAGCCACCAGCTTCTCTAACTACACAGAAATGTACTGACTAAATTCAAAGAAATTTAGAGCTATAATGGCAAAACCGATGAATGGCATTTTGCAGCATCCAGTAGAATCATAGAATGACAAAATTCTAAGGTTGGAAAAGAGCTCTAAGACTGCCAAGTCCAACTGTTAACCCAATACTACTATGTTCACCACTAAACCTTGTCCCAAAATGCCACATCCAAACACGTTTTGAACACTTCCAGGGGTGGTAATCCCACCACTTCCCTGGGCAGCCTACTCCAATGCCCAACCACCCCTTCAATAAAAAAGTTTCCTAATAACCAGTCTAAACCCCTGTACAGCTTGATGCCATTTCCTCTCATCCTGTCACTTGTTATCTGAGAGAAGAGGCCAACCCCCACCTCACACAACCTTCTTACAGGCAGTTGTAGAGAGTAATAAGGTGTTCCTTGAACCTCCTTTTCTCCAGGCTAAACAACCACAGCTCCCTCAACCACTCCTCATCAGACCTGAGTTCCTGCCCCTTCACCATCTCTATTGCCATTCTCTGGACACACTCCAGCACCTCAATGTCCTTTTTACAGTGAGGGGCCCAAAACTGGACACAGGACTCAAGGTGTGGCTGCACCAGTGCTGAGTACACGGGGAGAATCACTGCCCTGGTCCTGCTGAACACACCATTTCTGATAAAGGCCAAGATGCCACTGGCCTTCTTGGCCCCCTGGGTACACTGCTGGCTCATGGTCAGATGCTGCTGACCAGCACCTCCAGATCCTTTTCCACTGAGCAGCTTTCAGCCAATTTTCTCCCAGCCTGCAGCACTGCAGGTTGTTGAAAGTGCAGGACCTGGCACCTGGTTTGTTGAACCTCATGCAATTGGCCTCAGCCCAGTATAGTACGTGCATCAAAAGAAAATAATAATTTTTGGGTTTAGTGAGCTCTTCCAACTATGTAGGGATGCTAGATATGTGTGATTTAGCAGTGCATCAGCTTGTCAGTAAGGCATGCAAATATCTGTAAAATATTTTCCAAAGTTTAAGCAGCTGTGAATAAAATGCTACAAGAGAGAGTGCTTGCTTTTCAAATGCTTCACTTGCCTGTAGCTGTATCAAAAATGTAAGGGGATTCCAAGTATCAGGTTCGTAATTTATAGCCTACACTAAACTAGTCAAAGTTTAAAGGATGACTTTGTCTACTGTTAAACTTCATCCTACAGAATTAAGTAGAGCATGAATTCTAACTAGTCAGCAGCACAGGGAAGAATTATGCCAGTACTTACTATTTATAGCTCATGGCAACATCCACAAAGTACTTTCTTCTCTGTCGATAGACATTGTCTTTAAATCCCTTAAGCAAGGAAGAAGAGAGTAATTTACAATAAGAACATAAAATTAGCTGTAAGAATTATAAAATAAATCATTGAAATGTTTCTTTAGTACTTAATTGCATTGTATTTTGATTTGCACTGTCTACTGGACTGCAAGAGAAAATAAGGATTTTTTTTCTTTTTTTTTTTCTTTTTTTTCTTCACCAGAATTCCACAGGAGTTCTTTCAAGAGAGCTTTGTGCATAAGTACAGTCATTCATTCAAGATGTTGAAAAGCAAAACTTTTTTCCTGTCATTTTATCTCACTCATGCTTTCTATGATCTGAACAGAGATTTATGCACAGGTGCATAGCACAATAACAACACACATGCTCTTTATAATCTTTCTTCACTAGAATCAAGCATCTAAAGATCATATGCAACTCATTTTGAAGATTCTTTTTTCAGCAGTTGCCATCTTAACCAACACATTGGGAACTGAACCATCAGCCCCCAGCACCAGTTTGAGTTACAAAGGGAGGGCTCTACCTCATGGACTACAGTAGGTTCACACCTTTTCCACATTAAGAGCAAAAAGAGCTGTATAACACATACATGCTGACCAGTTACAGTTCTATCTATAAAATATAAAGATACTTCAGGTTTGGACTACAAGAAGAGTAAACTATTTTCAAAGTAGAACTGCCAACCCCTTGAAGATAAAAAAGGATTAGAGTTATCTATGTTACTCAGTTAGTAGCCCAGAAAGTGCATTTAAAATTCCCCCTGAAAATTAAAATGCTGAAAATTAAAATGTCTTTCTTCCTTAGTGCTTACATAGACATGCAAAACACCGAAACAAAGTAAAAGATAACATTGCTTGATTTGAAATACTTGTATGAGCTTCCATAAAACTCAGGAGACATTTTACTGTCCCATAACCAAAGCTGTGCTGCTGGGACAGAGTATGGGAGGATTTCACAGGACTACAGAAAGCCTTCAAACCTCCACTCCTGCACAGAAAACTTCTTTGACTTGCAAAAAGTTGCTGTAATCTGGGGGAGCCTCCTTGTCTCCTTAATACCTATTGAGGCAAATGTTGAGTTACTCAGCTGAAGACCATTCAAGAGATCTGGAAAGTGATGGAAGACAGCACCGGGGACTTAAAAACCTGTCAAGTGTAATGAAACTGAGACTGAAATCATTAACCATTATGGAGTGGGTTAAGGCTAAGCTGTTGAAGTGGTGCTATCCTTACAGGCTCTGCAATGGGATAATTCTCTTTGGTCCCCTGGCACATACATGCCGCTGCTAAGGAACAGGGCAGGAAACTGGAGCAGCCTTTCAAAGGCCAGTCACAGATTTAAGGGTCTTACCCCATTTCTAACATCTTGCATGCTGCATAGGCTAACAAATGGTGTGTAAATTGTGTTTGTAAGAGTCCTCCCAAGTGTAAAATATATATTCATATAATGCAAATGTCTTTTTTTGTTTTCTGTAAAACTGAAGGCAAATTTTCAGCAGAGCGCTCAAGTATTTAATAAAGGTACCAGCTCAGAACATAAAACAGCATCTAATGGCCTGTCAGAGCCATAAACTCAAAGCTGGAATGAGCTGTCTCTACAACCTCTGTTTGAACCAAATTATGGTAAATGGTTGAAGATAATCAACAGTCTTTTCCTTTTGGAGAAAATGTGAATTAAATCCTAGTTTGTCATCAAAAAGTACATGGCAGAAACTAGGATTCAGGAATGTGCTCCCTGACTATGGGCCCTCAGTATGGGAAGGGCTACCACGTGATAGAGGAGGCTGAGAACCAGCAAGGTGATGATGATGATGACGATGATGATGATGATGATTGTGGCTGGTATGTGGACAGGTGACACCATGGCAGTGGGGCTGCCATGGATCTTGTGATGGTTTCCATTTGGCTTGGGCGCACAGGGGTGAGGATCTGTGCCTGAGCTCCCACCACAGCACAAAATGTGTGCAACGAAAAACTAAGGAAACTAACATCTACAGCTAGGGTTTAATCTGATTCTATTACAAGACAGTCTTATGGTCAGATATCTTATTTCACTGCCTACTTCCTTTTAGCTGGAAATTTCTGACAGTACCAGTTTAATCCAGCCTATTTTAGGAATTAATATAACTATCTATCACCAGTACCTTTCAGTCACGTCATTCAGAGGTAGAAACTTGGATTTTTAGAAAGGGAAAGTATTTTAACACAAATGCTTGCAATCATCTGCCATCTAAAGACTCAGAGGTTAAACATTTATAGCTATTAGCAAAAAGAAATAAAACAATAACAAACCCCTTTCTTCTGTCTTTTTCATTGAGCATTTGACACTACTACAGATACCATTTGTGCATGCAGGTTTGTCTCCTGCCACCAAAGTCAGGAGATTTTGAGAAACAATGAGAGACACCTTCCCTTTTGCTGCATTCACCAAAAACAGGAACATGTTTCTCTGGTTTATCTTGTAATTACTGCCTGAGTGCCAAATAATTCCTTCATAATTCTTTCTTCTCTATTGACAATAGCAATTCTTACCCAAGAACTACCTCTGGCAGAACTGAAGTTCATATTGATCTAAATTCTAAAGTTTGAAATCTTTCTATCAACAAATTACATCTTTTTTTTTTTTTTTTTTAATGCAAGCAGTACAAAAGGAGACATATTTGCTAAACAATGAATAAGTTTAGTGGAGCACCTGAATTTTGTGTATCTTTCTACAGAAAAGGAAAATGAATTCACTGAAACTACCAAAGAGAAACCAGTCCTCATCTTCTGAAAACAATCAGCAGTCAATAGGCTTTTTACTGGACTGGCAAATAACCCGACAAATCATCTACAGGCAATTTTGTGTTACACTTACGGGGTGATCAGCATCCAGCTCAGATCCATACATCAAAACTCTCTGAGAGCATTTGTCTAACTCAGAGATCTTCCTGGGGAACCAAGGGACACAATCGAGATCTGTAGGAGACAGAATGCACATTGAATGCACTGGAGAGTAAGATCATGGAGATACCTGTGCAAAACATCTGTCAGTGTCTAAACCAAGTGATACACAAACAGCCTTGCCTTCTTCATCAGTCCAGATGTTTTCTGGTGGATTGAGAGATACGATATTAGTTTGAAACTTGAGCAACTGGATCAGTTCATTAAATTCTTTCTTACTGCAGTCACAGTCCACAAAAATTTCCACCTCTGAATTCCTTCTCTTTGATTTTCGTGATTCAATATGAACCATACTCACATGTTTTTCCTGTGGAAAGATGAAACAGCAGATGAACTACAGATATACAAAGAGCAATACTGGTGGCACATTCCTCAGGAAAGTTTTTCCAGTTATTAAAAGGCCTTTTTATTGAAAGTACTCCCTTTTTCTATTTACAGGATTAGTTAGTGACACATAATAAATATCAATGACAAAAAAAAAAAACTTACTTGGAAAGTAAAAATAAAATTATTATTTTTAATGAAGAAAACAAAGTAACAACTTCATTTTGTCCACAAAAACAATCTCTTACAGAGGACAGTATAACACTTTTTTAAATTTAATGCAAATTTTTATTTATCTTTGCTATAAATATTAAATTCTAATGCAATTTTAATTGGAAATTTGCATCATAATAATGTTAATTTAAATACAATTGAGTGTGCTTCTTTAAATAGATGTTATTAAACATACTACTTGATGTACCTTACTCCATGAGGAAGAAAATATTTTTATGAGAATAGACACATATCAATCCTCACCTATCTACTATGCAATTATCAATAACATGAAGTGTTAATAGCAATATAATTAAAATTAACTCAATTTCAATGTCCCCATCAAACACAAATCATGCAACAAACATCACAGAGTAAATGCTTCTAGCATGAAAATTTTCCTATGGGGTCTCTCTCCCACCACAACTACTGGTCTGCCAAGGGTATCATACAGAGACAGATAACCATAATGTGCCATGGCTGACCTGATCTAGAGTGACAGCCTTGCTTCAAAACAGGAGGTTGGATTAGATGGCTGTTCATAACTGACTGACCTCCTACAGACTCTGATTTTTCCTTTTCCTTGCTAGACAGAAACTATGCGTTACTTTTTACAACTATTCTTGCATTTACTCAGTGAAGCCAATAAAACATTTGTTGACTTCCAAATGGGAAGAAATTCATGTCTGTATTTCCAAATGCCTGCTACATTTTACATAAATGTCCATTGCAGGCGGAGGTGTCCTCTGGCAGAGCTAACCAGCAGTGTCTGTTTTTACACTTCTGGATATACAGACATAGTTCTTTCACTAGCATGTTCCATAAATGTGTATGCAGTGTAGCAATCCAATCACATAACAAATCTAATTGTGTTTTCCCTAAGTTAAGTTGAGAACAAAACCCTGCACTCCCTCCTGCAATACTGAAATCGTTAAGTGACTACATGGATGGGGGTGGAGATCCCTGCCACATCTTCCAGAGTACATTCTATGCTTATTTCCAGGAAGGGGTTTAAGCAGATGCTTAAATCCAGAATTTCAGCTACGAACCCATACCAGCATTTTAGCCAGAGCTGCACTGGGACACTTGACCCTTAGAGAACAGCTGCATTGAAAACACAACTCCTACTGCAACTTCTGTTCACTCACTTAGGTTTCCCCTCTTTTTGTCAAACACCCTGCTTCCTGGCAGGCTCCCTCCTGTGGGTCAGACTCACCTCTTTTTCTTGGCTGGAGAATCTACGTGTCTAGCTACACCAGCCTTGGGAATCTGTCCCCAGAGCCAGCTTCCATGAGTGAGGGCTGGTAGCACCCAGTGGTCCCACACTTACATGCCTCTGATGGTTTGGTCTGAGAGGCAGGCTCCAAGCCACCTCCTAACTTTCTCTTCACTGCACAGACTGAACAACTTAAGACTTTTATCATGCTCAGACACACCTCCAAGCTTTCTGACCAGGAGCCTGACTGACAAGCACTGATTGCATGGAGATGTATGTGGGAACCAATACCTCACAATTTGCATCCCAGTTAGACACATAAAACCCTGACCCTGCAAACACTTAAAGGTCTCTCTAATTTCAAGACCAAGCAAGGCTGCCACCAGTATCACCTGATTGTATTAAATTCCAAACTGCTCTCTGAAAGTGTCTCCTTTCATTGTGGCCTGCACAGACAATTTCAAATCTAATTTACAGTGCTGAGAATCACGTAAGAAACCTAAAGTGAACCACGTGAAAATCAGCATCACTGTCAAATTTTATTTCAGAAAATCCTTCACAAGCCCAAAATGCTTTGTTCAATGATCCATAAAATTTTAAGTTACTTTTATTCAGTTCTGCAGAGCGAGTGTAGCTGCGCTCTATTCCTCCTGCCACGGTCCATTAGATTGATATCAACAAAGAGCCTGACCTCAGTAGCTGTCCTCAGTCTAGCCAGCATAAATGATTTGTGAGCGTTACCTGGAAGAGTCTGAGAGCTTTCACCAATCCACCAACTTCATTTTTCAAGGAAAACACCACAGCTGTCTTTCCACCTTCAGATGCAGATTCACCTTTCCCATTTCCCTTATTCCCTTTCTTCTCCTCATTTTTCCCAGTACTCGATCTGTTTAGCTACAAACAGATAAAAAACACGGTCATCTCAGATGAAAATAGGCAAGAGAAATTTCCCACAAGAGAAATTTTTGTTTGAAAATAGCCGAACAGAACTCATCCCGGCTTCATTTGAAAGAAAAGGTTGTGTGTTTACTTGAAATCAGAATCACAGGTTAAAGGCAGCTGCTAGAGAAGATTGTATAAGAGGCCACACAAAAAATTTTTAAAAAGCCTAAGAAAAAGCATAAATGGGATGCATATATGATGGCATTATTTGGACAATGCTATCATTAGAAGTAAATGTGAAGCAAATGGGGACAGTCTGAATTACTGGCAAAGCCTGCAGATCAGTTATTGAAACCTGAACATTGCTGCAAAATTACAGGGATGCTATCCTAACATGTACCAGTCAATTTATGAAGATGTGCACTGGTCTGTATTTTTGTATTGACCATTGTTACATTTAAAGCCAAAATTTTACGTTCTCTGTCATAGTACAATTAATGTTATCATGTAATGCAATTCAACCTGAGAAAAGAAAACCTCTGCTGCTTATACAAACGATAACAGAAATGCTTAGACTGCAACACAGACTACCAGGTTGGAAGGGACCTCAAGGATTATCTGGTCCAATTTTTCTTGGCAAAAGCATGGTCTAGTCAAGATGACCCTTGTCATGCCACATCTTATAACTGTCCAGTGCTGGGGAATCCATTGCTTCTCTCAAGAGATTATTCCAATGGCTGATTGTTCTCATTGTGAAAAACTTCACACCCCACAGAAGATGAGTTAGCTGAGGAACTCAAAAAATACAGAAAATTGCAACATCCTTGGGCACTCTTACATTCTTAGAATTTGTGAGTCCAAGACTGTTTTAAGCAAAATTTCAGTCATCATTTTCCCAAAAATGTTATTTTATCAGCTTAAATCTTGTTGAAATTCCAACAGTACAGCCTTTATAGACAATTTTTATAACATTGACCATGATTTTCAAAAAGCACCCTGCATTTTCCAATACTTAGGCTGTTACTCCTGAAGAAATTAAGTCTCCAGTGAGATGCTAACTGCTTTGTTATAATCCATTAAAAATGTGCAGATATACATTAAAAACATGTACTATTTCAATGTTTCAAATGGATTAAACTGTATTTTGGTAAATTCTAAAGCAGCTTACAGAAAATAACCAGAAAATTCAGCTTTTTAAACAGATCTTTAACACTCTTTACATGGCACAGGTGAAATCAGCCACATTTAATGGCATATTAAATCAGCCACAGGACATGCTAAGTCCCTGTGGTCTTTTCTCACCATTTAATAGAACACAAGGAAACAATCTGGAAAGCCAATTTGTCTGCAGAATGATATATGAATGGTTTCACACATGTTTATTTTTTGGCAATTGAACTTATATGAGTCTGCTCCTACCTGATATGATAGGAAGGTTGCCCAGGGATAGTTTATGGGGAAGATCATTTTTGTTTTAACTTCAGTAATATCTAGGATTTGGATAAGTTCTTTTCACATACATCAAGCACACAGCCTCCAGATGAAGTGGCAGAGGTGCTGCTTTTACAGCATCTGTGGTTTTTCCAGAACCCCAATACTGTCAGTTCCTCTGGAAAACAAAGGCACTCAGCACTTTCCAAGCCCGTCACAGGTTCCCTAATATTCTCAAGAGAGCATTACCCAAAGTGATGACTGAAAGACCCTCTCAAGAATTTGAAAACTAAAATGAACACCTATTTGTTATGAGCCCAGTAGAAGAGGATGAACTTGAATTTTATTAGCCATGTTCATTAGTACACTTTTAGTACACTTCACAATTAAACAATGCCTAACAGACCAACTTTCCTAATGAAAATTAATTATCCAGAGCAAGTGGAAGTCCTCAGGAAAAGAAGTCATTTACAGTACAACTCAGTGAAGAAAGTAACTCAAACATAAATAAAGCAAAACAAATTTATTCCTTTTAATTCAATGTTTTTAATAGAAGCTGAGCATGTAGAAATAGGGATATTTCACATTTTACTATGGAGCGTAGGCCAATTTTAAACTGGTACAAACCCCTGTACTCTGCTGGTTTTACCCAAGTGATAAAAATCTTCATCTGTTGCAAAATTTTATTGGAGTCACTGTCTTTATAATCCTAAATATTTCATGTATTTAGAGCAGGTTGCTTTATTTAATCACACATACGTTTACCTGTTAGCATACAGAAGTTTGTCCCATGCTTGAAACCACCCAAGCACCTGCTGCACCCATGTCATCACCTTGCAGAGAACCCTTTCCATCTCCTGACACGGTGGTTCCATCTCACACAGTGCCCTGGCACGGCGTCCCCACGTGTCCTTGCACCCCTGCCCGTCGGCAGAAGCCGGAACACAGCAGCAAATCCACCGGCACCAACGCAGCGTGGGTGCACGGCATTTGTGTCTTGCCAAAAATGCTTTACAGATCGTGCTGAGCGCCTTACGAGCGCCCTGAAAAGGCAGTCCCTGCTGATGTGTACAGCCCGCTGGACTAACCAAGGGCTTTCAAAAATCCAAGCATTTAAAACCATCTGAGCTGGACCCGATGCTTTTTTCTATTATTCCACTACAGCAATACAGTACATTTCTGCAGTAAGGTTTCTATTGCTTATAAAACTTTTTCTGTTACTTATGACACTTTTAAGGCAACGTTTTGAACGGGGCCCGATTCGACAGCAAAGTTAGTTTCACGGGCCCCTGCAGCTGCCGAGAGACCGCTGACCTGTCCGTGAAGCGAGGGGCACGCACGGCTGCCCAGCAGCGGCCCCGGCGGAACCCGACCCCGCGGCGGAACCCGGCCCCGCGGCGGCCCGCCCTGCCCGTCCCGGCACTTACGGTGAGGCTGCCGGCGGCGGGCCGCTCCTCCGGCAGGGCCGAGTCCAGGGAGAAGCCCCGGCGCGCCCAGTACTTGCTGGAGAACATCATCATGGCGGGCTGCATGGGGCCGGCGGCGGCGGGGGCAGCGCCGCGCTCTGCCCGCCTCGCCGCGCCCGCTGCCTTTATACGCCCCCGCCGGGCTGATGGAAGCACGATATGGGGACACCCGTCTCCGGGTGACGAGAGCCGCCGGCAGGCGGACGCCCACGGTCCTCGCTCACCTCAGCAGCCGGGGCGGGACGGGACAGCGCAGCGCGGGGAGCGACCCCGCCGCCTCACGCCGGCAGCAGCCCCGGGCAGGTCCCGCTGGGAGCGGCTGTCCCCACCCAGCCTGGGGCTGCTCCTGGCGGCTCCTTCGCCCTCCCCTCACACCTGCGCCTACCGCGGGCCGAGCCGGGCACGTCCGGGCCGGCCTGTGCCTCCGCCGCGGCACCAAGGCACGGCACGGCACACGGCAGGGCTCAGGGCCCCGGGAGCAACAGGCTCGAGAGCGTGGGGACAGCACGGCAGAGAACTGCAGGAGCTGAGCTTCAGCACAGGGGAGTTGTGCAGAGATAGTCAGAAATGCTTTGATGTAGAAATCCATCTCTCTCCCTTTAAGTGAGCAGAAGGCAACTGCTGAAACTATAACTTGACTGCAGGGTTAAAGGAACCCCATCTCCCAAATTTACCTGCGAAATTTAGGATTTCTAAGTTCTCTTTCGTTGTAACATTCATTTTGTGACGTGCCACCGTCACCTGCCATCCCAGCTCCTCCTCATTTCTTTCATCTTCCAAAACCTCTCCACAACATCCTTAGAATACATAGGTTACCTGACAGCATGTAGCACTGAACAGCACATCTGAATTGGGAGCACTATACCAGTTTCCCTCAAATACCTACTCAGTTTTCTCCGTTCCAACATGCCAGGCAGGAGAAACTTACCACTTCCCCTTGAAAAGCACCATCGGTGACTTGCCCTGAGCCTCCCAAAAGAGAGGCAAACTAGCTGAGTGCAACAGCTGGCTGCACATGGCCACACGTATTATTAGCTCAGTCTCATATCCTAAGTTATCAAGAGATGTTCCTTGTCCTGTTTTCTCATTACTTTTGATTATAGGAAAGCAAGCTGGTGTCTTTGGACTTTGATATTCCTATCTGCTCTGCACGAGATACACAGACACGGTTCCTGCAGTTGAACAATTTATGAGGGAGGTTGCTTAGCACTTTCTGAATGCTCCAGTGACAAAACCAAACACGACTGGGCTGCCTTTCCACCTACAGGCAGGACAGAGCATGATTTTATCTGGTGTTAGATCCTGGCTCTGCACCTGGGACATCACACGAATCAATGACCCTACTGCTCTGGAGCCTTGTTATTGTTGCCCCTCCATGCAGTAACCAGAGCACAGCAAAGGTTTTGTCCCTCATAACCTCTTCAGCAAGACTCCTGAATGCAAAACAAACAATTGTGCATTCTATCAGCCGGTGTTAATAACAGGTAGGAGGACTCCAGTACTTCAGCTGTTTTACCTATGCTGTCTGCCCATGTGTTCCACAGGGGGATTCTTCTCCCTAGAACGGAGTTCTCCTTTGGCAATTTGTATTTTGTAGGTGGACTTTGCCATATCAGAACCAGATCAAAAGACATTTATGGACTGAAAAGGTTTATTTCTGCTTTGTTCTAGCTGCTGTACAGAACTGGTATATGGCTCTGGGAATGTTGCTAAACTACAAATCTTGTTGAGAGCTCAACTTACTTTTCTACAGTTTACAGTGCTGTATATTTAGACTAAGTAAATTCTTAAAATTACTGACCAAAAAATTAGAAGTTCATCAAAGCAACTCTTCAAAAGTGCCTGATCTAGAGCATGTCAGAGTGTCACTCAGCAATGCTATTTCATCTTGGGAAACAGAGTTAATGTTGACAGTAAGAAATGGATAAGCTTACTCTTGTTACTGAAAGGTACCTCATCACCTATAATCAGAATTCAGAAACTGCAAGGTCCTCTTGACTTTACACACACTTTTTTTTTCCTCTCATGAGATAGCAGAGTCACTGTTGCCTGAAGTCCTCAACTATGCACTTTTTAAGCTTAAAAATTTGCAGAATTCTCAAGTGAAAATTGAAATCTAAAGAAAATCTGTGAGATGTTTTCAATGTTTGAGTCATTTTATCCCCAGTTCAGGGGGATATCAACTGCCATATTTCAGCATATTTTCCTTAAAAATATCTGTAACATTTGCCATAGCTTGATTTAACTGGAGGGTGAAATTAACAGGGCAGAGCAGCTAGTATTGGCCAAAAAACTATTCAAATTTAGCCCTGGCTCTCCCAGATCACCAAGTCTTTGTCTCAAGGCACACTACAGCAGGAAAAAGAACTCTCAAGTCATCATGGGGCAGGACAGAGAAAGAAACGAAGTTATGAAAAGGTATCAAAAAAGCATAGAGAAAGATGGCCTCCACAAGGATCTAAAATGTAACCACCATTATTCACTGTCAGTTCAAAAAGGCAGGGCAGAGAACAGATGTGCTAATTATTAATGTAAGAGATGTTGATACAAGCAGAAAATAGAAGTCCCAATACCTTTTCAAATCACAATTTTGTTGGTAAAACAAGGACTTTGTGAAACAACTGACAAGTGGATTAACCAAAGGAGCTTTTTCAACAAAGAAAGATGTTCAATCTCTTTCTGTTTACTAGAGATACACACACACACTCTCCTAAGTCCAATTCTCTGAGCAATCTAGCTGAAAAATCTATGATGACAATGTACACTTAATTTTTAAGTCACGAAGATATGGATTTTCAAGCAACCATCAAAACCATCCTCTTTTAACGCTGAGGGGATTTTAACCAACTAACAACCATTGGGCAAGGATATCTACTAAAAGATAAACTGGCTAGGAAGACCTGGGAACATAGATGATATAATGAACATGAAGCAAATTCACAATTTTCAGCAAAAGAAAGGTTCTAAGAAAAAGGCAGAAACTATTTCAGGAGAAAAAAGAAAAAGGATTTCAATAAATTCAGTTATTACAAGAGCAAAGAAGAGGGAACCTAGAGCAGAAGGAGAGTTCTTTCCCTGTTCCAGTGAAAACATAGTTTAATCAGGAAACTATTTCATTACAGAGGAAGTGCCATCTTCTACTACACTTTTACTAGTAGTAGCATAAGTCCTTAGTTCATCATTAGCTTCAATTCAGAAGAGGAGCTTATAGGAGATGCAAACAAGGACCAAGCCACCAAATACAGGTAGAATAGCACATAGATGAAAGCTGTGGTACAAAATTCAAAGTCATTAATATAGGACATCAAAAGCAACTTAAAAAAAAAATTACTGCAGCAACAGCTATAAGTGAGCTATCAGACCAGTGAACACAAGGAAAGGACAAAACAAAGAAAGCCCTTAAAATTAGCTAGGTATTAGGTATTCAAGGTACTTTTTTTACATCAGTCTTTGTTAAAGAATCAACTGTGACCAGACGTCTATCATAACTAATAGCAAGGGCAGAGAGATAAGCTCTTTGCTTTTAACAACATGAAACAATGTTGAAGAATACTCATGATGAGTCTGATCATAGCAACTGAGAGCACAGAAACCACTTACAGAGGAGACTCATTAAACCTCTGCCATCAATAACTGTTTTAAGAACTATGGCGAAGAACAAGTGACAAAAGACTGGGAAAAGGCCAAAATTATGTCAATCTCCAAGAAGATAATGGGGAGGAAGAAGGGCTGAAGAATTACAGACCAGTCTAATTTCATTTGTTTGAGAAAACAGAAGTACCAAAATTATTTGTAACGATCCAGGAGATAACAGATGATTAAACAGTCAGGACAGATTTGCTGAGAACAAATTGAGTCAAGTAAATTTCATTTCCTCTTATGACAGTCCTGTAGACCAAGGCAAAACAATGCACATCATTCATCTTGATGGTAGTACAGCATTTGAAATAATTTCTCATAACATTCTCACAGGAGAGATAAGGAAAACAGGTGCAGATGAAAGTAACAAATCATACAAAGGGGTGGGTTCAGTTAAATGGAAGGGTGCAGAGAACAGAGAGAGAGCCTCAAGTACCTACCTTCACACCTAAACTATTTAGTAGAAGCTTTACATGAGCACTTAGAGCCCAGCCGTAAATTCCCAGACTGTACCTACCTCAGAAATGCCGTAATGGTTACAAAATTTAAACTGATGCTGGGGCAGAGGGCTGCTTGCAGATAAGCAGCTGCACAATCACCAGGGAAGGCTGACCTCATGTGAGGGAAGTCAGAAGTTACAGAAAGGCTCCAGCTGCATGCAATCACTCTATCTGCACTGGAAATCCACAAACACCTGAAACTTGTTTGCATGATAGAGTGCAGAATCTCCAAAAGTATCCTGCAAATGGATTAGACAGCCATCTAGCACAAGAGATACCTTCCACCAGGAGATACTGTAGCTAGTCAATTATTGACAAGTTTTAAAAAATGCCTTCCAATATGACAAATCTGGAATTTTAATAAACTTGTTGTATGCATATATGCAGGCATTCACCACATGATGAAAAAACATGGTATGATTGATCTGGCTAAGATAATTTCGACCTGAAATTTATCAGCTCCTTTATGTTGTTCACCATATGCTGCACAAGTTAATCACAATGGCATAAAAGGTGCA